GGCCATTCTGACTAGTGTGAGGTGACAGCTCATTGTAGTTTTGATTTGCATTTCTCTAACAATTAGTGATGTTGAGTATCTTTTCCTGTGCTTGTTGACCACTGGATGTCTTCTTTGGAGAAATGTCTGTTTAAGTCTTCTGCCCATTTTTTGATTGGGCAGGAGGAGTCAGTGCCTGCCCACTGCTGGGTGGAGCTTGGTCCTGGCCCTCTGCTGGGAAGGCCATGTCTAGGGGCATGTCCAGAGGCAGTTGAGGGCTTAGGAAGTATGGGGATGGGTGGGGCTGCTTTTCCACCCATTATGTTGTTTGGCCTGAGGCTTCCAGCACTCAAGACTACAGGCTGTTGGGGCTAGGTCTTGGTGCTAATGACTGAAGCAAGATGTCAGCCTCCAGGAAATCTCATGTAGATGAACACTCCCTGAATGTCAAATGTCTACCACCAGCTCTTATGTCCCTAAGGTGAGCCACAGCCACCCCCTACCTCCCCAGGAGACCATCCAAAACCACCAGGCAGGTGTGGCCCTGGTTCTTATTAAGTCACTGCCTCTGCCCTTTTACCTGGCACATGTGAAATTCTGTGTGTGCTTCCCAAGAGAGTAAAGTCTCCCCTAGTCCTCTGGGGCTCCTGGAGTTAAGCTCCAGTGGTGTTCAGATGTCCTGGAGTCTCCTTCTCCCAATTCAGGAACCGTGGTCTGGGGAGCGTGACGTGGGTCTCAGAACTCTCACTCCTGTGGGAGGGCTTCTGTGACTTAATTCTTCAGCTTGTGGGTCGCCCCGGGGACAGAGGGCTTGATTATATCGCAAGTATGCCTGCTTGGTTCCCGCTGAGGTTCCCTCTTTATGCTTCCAATTGAAGAGGATCTTTTTTGATAGGTTCCAGTCTTTTTTTTCCAACGGTTGATTAGCAGTCAGTTGTGGTTTTGTTGTAGTGGTAAGGAGAGGCAAGCTTGTGGTCCTGCTACTCCACCATGTTGATCAGACCACAAATATCCAAGTAAGGTTTTTAGATGAGAAAAAAACACTTCCTTAAATCCTTTTGGGGACAAGTCTAGCTATAACTAAATTTAAAACAAGAGATTTTAAATAACATTTATTCTCTGAAAAATAGCTTTATATAATTGTGTAAAGTCTTCTAAAAGATTTTTAGCTAGTCCCAAATGAATATGGCATTGACTAAACACTAGAATTTTAGAAAATTTCCCATATGTTAAAGAATCAAAACTGCTATATTTAAGAAATAAATTTCACTGAACTGGAATCTAGTATTAGATTCAAAGACAGACTGCACAGTCTTGGCCAAGTCATGTCTGAGACTATTTCTTATCTATATAATGCAAATGATACTGTTTTACCTCATAAGTTTGTTAGGACTAAGTAAAACATGTATAAACACCCAGCTAGACTTTCAGTATTTCATTATGTGCATTCATTTTACTCACTTTCTTATAAATTAAACGTGAACTTGAGTTTGTAGGTGAACTCTGAGCTTTCAGTATACTTTGTATAATCTTAAACTTTGTTATACAGTTGACCCTTGAACAACTCAAGGGTTGGGGTGCTAACCTTCTGCACAGTCAAGAATCAGGGTATAATTTTACAGTCAGCCCTCTGTACGCACGATTCCACATCTGCAGATTCAACCAACTGCAGATTGTGTAGTACCGTAATATGTATTCTTGGGGAAAAACTCCACATATAAGTGGATCTGCACAGTTCAAACCTGTGTTGTTCAAGGGTCAACTGTATTGTAAATAGGAGGGTTCTGAACTCATTGTTACAAATTTTTTATTACTCGTTTTATAGTTTTTCTGTGATTTTTTTTTTTAATAGCTCATGTCAGAACTGTGCTAGGAAGTTTTTCCCAAGTTATCTCTTCTTTCCAACAGCCTTGTAAGGTAGTAGGAAGTGTAATCTCCTTTCTACAGCTCAGGAAACTGAGGCTCTGAGACCTTGTGACTTGGTGAGTGTCATATAATTAATAAGTTACAGAGGCCAGAATATAAACTCGGGGAATTCTGATGCCGCGTCCATTACTTTTTCTGCAATATCATCCTTATTTCACATTAGGCGGATGGTCTTATATCACCATCCACTTTATGTGTTACTATATTAATCTGTTTGAAAATAGGGTTTACTAAGAACTTAGGTATTAAAAATTGACCTTACTTGCTGTGTTCTAGTTTACCATTTACTGCTTCAGTTTTGCTTGTGAGACTAACATAAATCTAATTGTTAGATGATACCAGAACATAATAAAAATGAATCCGTTTCTCTGAAAGACTAATTAATGGGCACTGTTAGCCTAAACTAACTCTTAATTGTGTTTTATAGTCTGATCATTCAGGATACATAATTAGACAAACTACATATTATTAACTGTGAAGAACTAGAAATACATGTTAGGAATATCAGGTTTTTAAAATATTACCTAAGGTCTGCTGAGCATACAATAGAATAAGAATAAACAGCTTACTAAAATCCAAGCATTGTACCTTAATGTTGTGTGTGTTTTTTTTTAATTAAGGCTTATAGACTAGAACCGTTAATACTGAAACACTACAGCAACATTTCACCTGTGCAGATCCACTGGTATAATACTTCCAATCCTCTACCTTATGAGTCCATGAAGCCAAACTATCTTCACCCAGCAAAAGACCCTACCTCAGTTACAGAGAATGAAGGCATTTCAACAATACCAAGCCCTGTGACTTCGCCAGTCCTGTCCCGCCGACACTATGGGGAATCTATAACAAACATAGGCAAAGCAAGTATATTAGGTAATTTCTCTTCAGTATGCCTTATCAATGAATTTAAGCACTTTTATATAGACATTAGATTTTTGGTACTTGGAAATACTCTCTGTATTATCAAAACATTCAACAGTTAATATTCATGTTTAGAATTAACTACCCTCTCTCACTGTTCAAATTTGAGGGCCAAATCCCTGAAGTATTAGATCAAATCCTGTAGTTAAAGAATATGAGATAGCTGGATGCACAAGAAAAGGCTGGGAAATCAAGTCCCTCATTTTAAATCTTGAGCACATCACTTACTATGAGATCTCAGAAAGTCACATAGTTTTTAATGCTCTGCTTCCTCATCCATGAAATGAGGGAGTACTTGAGTGCTAAGGGTACCCCTGCCAACCAGTTCTCTGATCCATGTCCTAAAAGTCTGTCAACCTGTCCTTCCTGAGGGCAACAAGGGTATTTAATTTCTCTTTGAATGATCTGTGGTACCAGCCACAATGTTTGGTGTAGCATTGGAGCTCAATTGTGTGCCATTTTAACTTGTCTATTGCTTTTGGTTATGAGTTGCCTTAATACAAAATGCCACAAGATGGCGCCATAAATAGGCTTTATCTGCTGCACTCATTGATAACGACCTCGCCATGCAGATTTATTCATTGCTTTTTATAACATACCCACTTAACTTTAGTAGTAAGCATATCGATAGTAAATTTATGCACATATGAATGACATGGTTCTTTCATTAACATTTTTAATCTTATGAAGTACTTTAATAAACAATGATCACTTTAATAGTCTTTATTCCTTTGTAAGCTTTTCTTAGAGTTTGTGCAATTTTTGTCCTATTCAACACCATTTTTATTTAGAAACCTACAATATAAATTGTAACTTACTTATGTTTCCACCTTGGAAAAACATAACTAGGGCTTGGTCCCTCTGCAACTGGCTGTAATTATGGGTGGTGCTCTTTAGCTTGGTATGTGGTGTAATTCAGCAGAATGATTGCCCTGTTTTGTGAAATGCAGGGGCTGCGAGCATTGGAAAGGGACTTGGAGGAATGTTGTTCTCAAGATTTGGACGGTCATCTGCATCACAGCCATCTGAGATTTCAAGAGACACTATAGAAGACGAGAAGAAGCCGATTGCCTCACCTCCTACGACCACTGTGGCAACGCAGACCCTCCCACATAGCAGTTCTGGCTTTCTTGACTCTGCATGTTAGTTCACACTGTTCTCTGCAGCTTTATCTGGTATCTTTTTAAAGCTTCAGGAGGACAGAGAGGATTAAGATATTAACACTAGCTGTCAACTCTATAATCTAAAGCATGATTAGCTTTTAAAGAAAAAATGATTTCTCTACTTACATTTTTAAGAATAATCCCCAGGTAAATGCAGTTTTACTCTCTGCTTTGATGAATTAAGTTAAGAACATTAATAATCAGGGTCCTGTGGCACAGAAGTCTTAGACGTCAAGCGTAAGACAAATCCCTCATTTTTATAAAATTGTTGTTTTTTTTTTAAACATGGTCTTCTCAGCCTTAAAACTTCATGTAATCACTTCAAACCTATGCTGTATCTACTCTTGATACTTTTTTAAAACTGCTGTGCCAAAACCATCCTGCTGCTAATCCCAGGGCTCCCTTCATTTAACCTAATTATAAAACCTTCAAAGCTTTCATTGTATTGAATCCACTGTATGGCTTCCAATCCTATCCCAACTATATGGGGTAAAATAGACATTCAAGAAATGCGTGAATGAATGGATAATTCATTCTCACTTAGCATTAGAATGGAGCTTTATTTAATTTTTTCCAGTGGATTTATAAGGTCTAAAATCTTGAATAGTTGTGAAACACTAATTACACATAGTATATGTTTACTTCCAGGGATCTAAACTTGAACCTTATTTTTAAGTGTCCAGTAGAAGACTACTAAGACCTAGTTTTCCGTTGACTTACATAAGGAAATGTAGATTCTGAAACTTGCTACTTTTCTATAACTATTACAAGAAGAAAAGTTTACCTTCTTCCTCTAAAAATGTTTGCACATTTCATTTCAGATACTTAGAGCCTTGTTTTCTTATTGTATCTGCTACTCTGAATTTTAAAAAGACCAGCATTCATTGCCATTCATAAAACTTACTTAAAATGGAAGTTCAAGTGTGGCAGTCCTGGAGGCTGGCTCTGTCTATAGTCGGCCCCACTCCAGGGTGAATTATCCTGGCCATTCCTGAACTGGACGTTACTATTTAGGCCAATAGCATTTTTTTTTTTACCTAATGCTGTCTGTGTCAGACTCTGAGTACTGAAAATTTTATAATTGCAGGTCTTTTAAACACTGCCTAGAGAATTCATTTTAGATTTTGATGTTTGTACAAAATTCATAGTTCTCTCATGAGAGTTCTGTACTATTGCTGACCTAAAACTCTCACTTCTGCTTAATATCAGACATGACATTGTAAAAATACAAAATTCTGTATAACATGCAGATATCAAAAGAAAACTACTCTAAACTTCTGAGGAAAAATAATTTCGAAGAATTTTATAAGAGTCCAGGTAAAAAGTCACAATTCCTTGTAATGTTAGTGCACAACAGTGATACTAGTGAACATTAGTGTGAATGAGGGAAGAGAAGGAGCAGGGGAGAATTTGAGCCCCAGGGAAGTCATACAGAGAAGTCTCTAGGATCTGAGGGGAGAAAACTGACCTTTAGTTTTCTTACTATTTAACATAGGAATTTCAAAATGATAGTAAAGAAACCTGTTTCTTCTTTCAAGGCAAATGAGTAGAAATGCTTCCCTGTATTACATTATTATATCTCGATACCTTAACAAAATACTTTTTCTGTCATTCTTGCATATAAATTCTTTGTCGGTCTTAATGGTAAATTCCTTGCCAACTGTAGACTCAGCTAACTATGAGCTAATCATGATTTCTTATTTAGATATATTCACCTTTAGATACAGATTTTAAAAGTCCAACTTTTAAAATTAGACTACTTACTACAGTAGAATTATGACTTTTAAATCAAATCTCCAAGATTGCCTTACTAATTCTTGGACTTGCTTTGGTAATATACTCCTCTATGTAATCTTGATTTAGACAAATTTTTAAACTCATAATTGCTCTTTTGGTGTATCTTGTAAATCATAAAACCTTTTTTCCTTAAATCTTCTTTCTGGAATTTAGTCACTGTGATTAGGTGATTCTGGCTTCCTTCCTTATTTTCTGCTCACTTTGATTGCCTCAGTTCTTCTCAGTAACCTTTATTCTGAACCTACGACTTTGATTCTCTTGCTTTTTGAGGGTAGGATGGACACGGACTATGAATTCATGATCAGTCTTTGAAGAGTTAGTGTTGTCAGTTGAAACCACTTTATTAACATCAAGTTGAAGCATCTTACATAGCTGTTCTTCATTTCTTTTGAAAACTATAGGCTTATTTCCAGTGGTTTTACTGTTTCATTTCTTGTGCTATCCTGCATTTGTAACATATGGAAAGAAAAGATCTGTTTCTTTTAGCACTGGTATGCTTCTAGGTTAGAACTTCAGTGAACTATATATTGGGAGGATATCTGGGTGTTAACAGATGATGACATTATATTTGAAAGTTAATTATGATTGCCTTTTCCATGAAGGAGCTCTTCACAAGAACCAAAGTGTGTACTTTTTTATGTATGCAGGGTTTAATCAGCTTACATGGGAGTATCGTTCTAACTTCTGGCTGCTGCATCATTGAAGGCCATTTGTAACCGTCAGCCAGTATTTTACAGCATCTTGTGTTTTTTTTTTTCACAGATTTCAGACTTCAAGGATCATTCTTTAATCTCCCACAACTTCTTTTTCCGGAAAATGTAATGCAGAATAAAGATAATACCCTCGGTATGGTATATGTCAGGAATAGCATTCAGAACACTACAAAAATGATCTACCTAGATTTCTTCTGCTCATTGAAAAATTGAAGCAGTTCTTCTATGAGATCAGCTTGAATGTTACCATTATAGACTATTTTATACATATTCTCTGCCTTTATTTTCTAATCTTAAATGGTAGTGATCCTGAAACTTGACTACCGCTGAGACACTGAGCGTACTAAATTATGTGATACTCCTATATGCTTCTACAAAGAAGAAGCCTTTTAGAGAGGGAGAAAAAGCATTAGTCTGTTTCCTTTCTTCTCTGTTGCCCTAGAGCTTTCAAAGAGGTTCACTATTCTTTTTATGTAATATACTTAGATATAGAAGGATTTCATAGTGTAAAGAATTTAATCATTCCTAGTTATTTCACATGTCAGTGACACTACCCCTAGCACTGTTGGTATGCCATAGCTACTATCTAGTTTCAACACAAATATTTAATGTTCTTTAGTGGCATAGGTACACTTTGAAAAATTAATATTATTGGATGCAAGAGATATTTTCAGTCTCTTAATTTTCAGCAGATTCAAAATGCATTGGTAAAAAGCTTAATCTTAGCAGTTTAAAATAACTTTTATCATTAACTTCTCATTCCTTTTTCTGCAGTTCCTCTCTTTCCTTTTTTTTTTTTAATACTGGATTTTGTCTTTAACAACTATGTTACAGGTTTTTCCTTGAATTTTTTAACCACATCTAATTTTACAATTTCCGTATTTATAATTGCTAATTTTCATGCATTTTTTCAATTTTTTTCTATTTTCAAAAAAATTCTTACTTGATATAGATTCCAAAACACTGTTTCAGCATAACAAGCTGTTGTTTTGTTTGTTTTGTTTTGTTTTGTTTTGTTTTTTGGCTCCGTAACAGCCATTTATGTTGATCTAACTCTGTGAGCTCCCCTCAAGAAACGATCTAATTTAAGTGCTCTCTCTGGTCCCTGCTCATGTACTAGTCACTTCCATAAAGAAATAGTTGATCTGTGCTTTTTGCATATTTAGCTGAAAAAAGAAAAATTAATCTACTCATATATTTGTCCTGCATTCAAGTGGCCTACACTATCTTAAAGCCATCCCAACTACCTAAGCAATTAGACCACTAATCTTAACTACACCACACTGATCAGATGGTAATATGTGTATGGCTTCTATTTTCCCTTCCCTTATTACTCATTCAACAGTTATTTATGAAATGTTTACCAGGAGTCAAGTAGGTAGTCACTAGAAAAGATACCAAGATAAAACACTTCAGTGCTGCCCATAAAAATGTAAAGTGCTGATGTGGAAATGGTTTTCTAGAGGGCGTATATTCTAGTAGGAAATGTAGGTAACTACAAATATAATTATAATATATGTTAGAATGTGATGAGCCACGTAACAGACACAGGTAAGAGCCTCTGTCAGTTCTAAGGAATGAGAAAATGCTTTCACCTGGAGAAATCAAAAAAGGCTTTGTGGAAATAGGATTTGGACAAGCAGAGATGAAGAGACATTGCAGAGAGAAGAAACAGCAAAAGCAAAAACAGAGGTGGGGAGCACAGGGTATGCAGAGAACCAGAAGTTCATTCTCTTGAGAAGAACCTAGGAAGAGTGGAAAGGGGTAGTTCCGAATGTGATTGGGAAGCTTTCTCAAACCAGACTGTAGAGGGCTGGCAAATGTGGCCGTCTCCAGCAGTTACCCACAGAGCCTGTATTTACCCCAATAGCCCAACTGTTGTCAAATGTTAGGTATCTGAGTGTCTTTCAGGGTAGACAAGTATTGGGAAATTTGGGGGAGACAGAAATGACAACCAATGATAAAACTCAGTACGGAGTTGTTTTTTCTGTTTTTTTTTTTTCAAATGAAAGATGGTTACCAAATATTCTTAAATGTATTTGGAGCTATGATAAGTCACAAAATGTAAATATTCCCTGGATGTCAGATACCTAAGCACATAAAATGTATAGTCTTTCCAAGGCAGCACAAAAATAAGAAGACATAATTTATCAACAAGAACTCTGAGCACAATCTAATTACAAATGACTCTTTCACCAGTCATTTGGAAACCCAGTTTCCTTTACTAGTACTCTAAGTGTTTTTCTTAGTATACCTGGGGCCAAAAATTATGCAATTGTGACTATGATTATTATTTATAAATAAGATAACTATTAAGTTTTTTGAAAGTTCCAGAAGGAAAGTTAAGAGACTTTCATTAAATAGAAAAAAACGTTTCCAGTTAGTACACCTGGTAATACTAAGATGCTTACTTTCTATTCATGTGTGTTACTTTTTAACATGAGATTCATGCTGACAGGCCCTGTGCACAGGAGAATTCTCTGCTGAAAGCACAGTGCTGGGGACGCTCTCCCTTCACTGTGTGGACTGCAGACATTTGCTTTGGGAAATAGGGAAGTGTGCCCATAGGCACGACTCCCCCAAAAAGGAAAATAATCCATGTTTTAAAACAGTATAAGCAAACTTCTAAAAGTAATTTAAAGCCAACAGTCTTTTTCTCATTTTTACTTCTCAACTGTTCAGGAATCTCATTCTTATTTTGTAGATGGAGGAACATTAACACTTAGGCACTCAAGAGAGAGAGAAGGACAAAGTGATGATTTTATATTCTCCTTTCTCTTTGCCCTAACTTAGTGAGAGAAACTAGGAAAAACTACTAACCTGTATGATGCCACCCTTTCTGGATATGGTAATACTGAGACAGTAGGTCCAAGGCAACTCCATGTAGGTCACGAGTACATCTCACAGCACATATAGGATGGTGCTTCCATGTAATAATCTCACTCCCTGGGGATTCCGTGATCTGCATAAAGGGAGAAGATGAAACAGGCCCACCTGCTTCCATCCATCCACCTGCAAAGCCAACACAAATGTAATGTCAGCTGCTGTGGCAGTCTGGCTGGGGTAGACCTTCAAAGGAAGATGAGAGACATAAGACAGGTTCATCAGATACAAACTGGCTACTTAATTCCCATGTTGATAGGGACAACCTACAGATAATTACAAAGGGATAGAGAGGGCCAGTCTAGTTAATGACACAAGTTGCTATAGGCAATAAGAATTGCAAGGACATGTAATATAAGGGGACAATAAATTTATCATTTGAGTTTATAGTACTTGAAAGGCAGTGTAGCACAGTAATAGCACATTAATACATTTCAGGGACAAAATCAAAGTGGAACCAAATAACACTAGTTATAACAGGGAAAAACCTCCCTTTCTTTGACTTTAAAACGGCAACTCAACCTGAGACTGTTGGATTAGGAAGATATTCTACAGTGGCATGTGGAAGTCAATTCTTAGAAATTATAGTGTGGTGTGGCTTCACCAATATTAATGCATATGTTTCTGATCTCTTCTGTTTTTCCTCTTATTTCTCCTTTTTTCTCTATGACTAACTTCAACTTGACTCCTCTTCGTGCTTGATAATTTGTTCCCTCTTTTCGTCTTCATGTCTGTGGTACCAGAATGTACCTATGAAATTAACACCCATGTCCTGTGGAATACAGAGGGTAAAAGATTAAGACATTACTATCCCAGAGTTCCACATGTGGATTACAACTATTTGTGACTTATTATGGATTAGATTACCATAATTTAAATGAGAAAAATAGCAGTTAAAAAAAAACTTTGTAAAAAGCCTATGTCAATATATTTTACAAGTGTTTTGTAACCTAATTGATATTTATGCTGTTTAAGTGTAAACCTTATCTGAAAATGGATAGTCAGACCCATGGGTAGTCCTTGTTAGAAAAGCACAATTGAATAGAAAAATAACTCTAAGTGCATTTTTAAATCACCAAATGGTATTGTCACAAAACACATGTTTAAAATAAGCATTAGCTAAACATTTATATGAGATCATTTTCTAAAGCGATGTGATTTCCTACATGTGATTACCATATTCCCAGTGTACAAGCAAAACCCAACTTTTTCTCCAACCTCCTTAATTTTTGCTGGTTTTTACTTTTCAGATCCACTGGCACTCTGGGCAAAGAACAGACTTAGTGTCTGAATGGTAGTGGCTTGGGTGCTTTTTAAAAGTTTTTAAGACCCTTCAAAATACTGTATGGCTCATTGACAATTTAAAGGAGTTCATGAAGATGAAATTGCCATTTTTCTAAGTGTTTTAAGGATTTATGAGATGAACTGATCTCAGTCTTCTTATAGCCTTGATTTTTAAGGTGGTTTTTATGTAGCAGGTATTTCGAGGACTTTCTCTGTGTTTTAGGAAAGACTTGATAGAAATCACTGAATTGTTTGAGGACAGCATTGCTATAAAATGAAATCCTTCCTCTCAAGGATCAACATTGTTCCTTCCAGTGTAATTTTCCCAGCCACCTAGTGGATTCTTTTATTGAACAGACATTGAATGAGCACGTGTTATGTCCCACGTGCATGTTAGGCCCTGCTGACTGAATGGAGGCTAGGCTGTGTCATGGCTGCCTTTGAGAAATTCAGCTAAGTGGGAAAGAAAACATTCCAGGACTGCAGTAGATGTTATCTTTCAACATGTCCCCACTGAGACAGCTGACCGCTAGGGCCTTGCCAATGAAGGAGCCTGGAGTGACCTGCTGCATTCTTACAGGCATTATTGCTTGTAAGCCTGGCCCATGATTCTGTGAGAAGGCTGTTTTCCTTATTTTACAGATTAGGCACAAAGATTAAATGGGAAAGCCAGGGTTTGAGCCCGGTTTCTTTACTACAAATATGCTATGATACCAAGCAAGATTTTTGTTTCTCTGCTTCATTGTTCCATATTGACCTGAACACATGAAGGAGAAAACTCACCAAATAGAATTCTGAGCTGCTGAGCCTCTTGAGTGTTCTCTCCCGTAAGATTAGTGGGAAGTCACTTCTTAAAAACTAGTAATCAATTCTGTTAGGTAAATTTTTATTCTCAACTCTAGTAAGTCTGTATAGAACTGGTCTTATTGTAATATCTATTCACTTGTTTGACTTCTGTCCTTTCTAGTGGAACTGGATCACAGAATTGATTTCGAGCTCAGAGAAGGCCTTGTGGAGAGCCGCTACTGGTCAGCCGTCACGTCGCATACTGCCTATTGGTCGTCCTTGGATGTTGCCCTCTTTCTTTTAACCTTCATGTACAAACACGAGCATGATAATAATGCAAAACCCAATTTAGATCCAATCTGAACTCTTGAAGGACGTTAATGGCCCAAAGCTGATTTTTTTTCTGTTAAAATATGTGTGTCAAGATATGGATGTTTCAGGTTTAAGTATGTTTCAGTTTTGTTTAGGGCAAGAAATATTTGAATTTAAAAGCACTTTATTTTTTTTTTAAAAAAACATATGTTAAGTCTAAAGTAAGTAATTTACAATTTTCATCATTTTAATTATGAGTCTGACAAAGCCCCCTGCAGAGAATCAAGCAAGACCTGGAAGTAAGGATGGTTTGGGTGGACTGCAAAGTTGTAAATCACAGTCTCACTTCTCCCAAATATAAAGGCATCTTAATGGGTTGAATCTAACGTGTTAACCAAAATATGTTCTAAATCTAAAATGGTGAAGGTCCAGGGTATTCCGTGTAAAGATCACGAGGTGGTATCATTGTTTTAGATTTTTATGAAAGCTTCCATTTCCACAGTTCCTTTGAAACTTGAGTATAAGAGATTTAAAATGTCTTGAATTAAACTTGTTTAGAAAAACTAATGCTAGAAAAGAAACAACATTTGAACTACTGTATTTATAATTTATTACCTCGGACTAATCACTTTATGTCAATGTATGGAACATGACATTTTTTTAAATGTTTCTTTTGAGTGATTTAAGAACCACATTTGTTTTCTATAGTGTGAAGACCCTTTTTTCTCAGAACTCCATCTTTGTACTCTTCAGATGAATATATAGACACTGTGGCATAATTTCAGTATTTTTTTCATTAAAAGCTTGTACTTTCACACAAAATAACACTAGTTCAATTATTTTGAAAAAAGTGAACTTTTTTATTACGTCATGTAACCTCAGAGAAAGTTAAAGTTTTCTAACTTTGACATGAAGTACCCCATAATAGGTACATTTAATTAACTACTGGAAAATTAGTAAACTTCTTTGGAGTAGGGAGTATGACAACTATTTAAAATATATTAGCATCTGTGTGCCAAACAATTACCATATAAAGGGGGGATGGAGTGCCACTAACAAATTTTATTTGTAAGTGTTTTAAGAAATCGCAATTGAGACAGAGGCACAATAGCAATAGTTCAGGATTGAGGCGTTGGAAGAGTTTTCTTAGCTGTAGTTTTTTTCCACAGTGCTTTTCATCTGAGGAGCTCAAAGTGCTTTAAGATTCAATAATGTATGTAGTAACTCCTTGAGGTAAGTAAATGTTATTCTCATGTTACTTGTTAATACACTAAGGCACCAAAACATTTAAAGTGCCTTGAATTAGATTACAGAGCAAGTCAGAAGAACTCAGATTGAAGACAGGCCATATTCTTTTAGATGATGTTCATTGCCTAATGATGCACATGTGACCTCTTATTTTTCACACAGTAATAACAGAAGCAAGTTGCAGTTCTTAATTTGGAGAAATGACTGTGAAGCCAGTACTTTACCCTCCTAGTCATACACATTCCTGGGTTCTCACACAAAGGAGTTACTTCGAGGGGGTCAGTAACCATCTCTGCCACAACCACCCCTCACTTTCGAGTGGCTTCCACTAGGTTCCACTGAAGGTGCTGTCTTTGCTTATCTTAGCTTCCCCGTGATCACTGTCAAACTGGGAGCATAGTGGGTCAGTCACACATCTCATTCCTTTCTTTGTAAGATACTAAAATCTTTGGCTTAGTTGTAGGTTCTGCTCAGCACTGTCAGTCCTCTGTTTTGGCCTTTCATTGAATTTGCACAACATAAAGCACTCATTTTTTGTGCTTAAAAAGATCCCAAGGCTCCATGCCCAAATATGTGACTCACTAAGAAACCCTTGCTATAAAAGGTTTTGATGTGGTCCTAGCAAAGCTGAAGCTGTGTCTTTCAAATTTAGAGATTCCTGTGAACTCAGGTCATTTTCATACCCTGTTTATTTTGTAGGTCTGTTCTCATGTCTCCTATGACTGTCCCATCAAAGGTACTTGAGCATGTGTTGCTGTGGGTGGTATGACACTCATAAAAAGAAACATTCCCATGGCTATAGGAATATGTCACCTTCCCTTTTTTTTTCATATTGAGGAAAAAGATCAAATTTAACCACATGGAAGTTACTTGAATTCTTGAAAAGAACAACATCCAAAACCCCCTTTACAAAAAGAGACATTCTGGATTATTGGACCTAGTTTTATTTTCGGCTCATTTCGTCAATAGAGATGGTGACTTTGATTTTGCAGTACTCTTGCTTCCATGTCTCTGCATGTTATCATGGAATGTACTTGTATATACTCAAGTAATATACAGAGTATGTGTAATTCTAGCTTGATTTAGAAGCTAAGTCAGTTACTGAGTAACATTTTGCAACTTTATTCCAGCAAGCACTAAATTGGCCAAAAAGTTCTGTTTTTGATACCATTAAAATTTTATTCTCTATTTTGTGTACATGCTATGATGATTCTTCTGAGTATTGATCAGATCGTTCAAACAATTTTAATCCAGTTAGGTTCCCAAGAGTTATTTAAATTTAGAATAAGAATGTTTTGTTCTTAACTTTATTTTCAGTAGTAATTATGCTTATGTTATAATCCAGTGTTGCAGCATATTAGAACATAATTACAAATACCCTCAGTTTCCCAATAACGACTTTATATTGAAGCAAGCCTTAAGAATCGTAAGTTTTACTTCCATTAAATGCATCTGTCAGCTTTGGAAATTCTCACACTGAACATGTTCTGTAGAAGCCCTCAGACAGTGACATGTAAACTTCATCCTCGTTCTCATTTTCCCTCTTTTGTTTCCTTGTTGGGGACTGGAGTGTTCTGGTCTACACGGCATTTAGCACACTGTATCCTGGCTTTGCCTTCCCCTGAGGAGTAGACAGAGGAAAAGAAACCATCAGTGGAACGTCAGAGCCAATTCCACCCCTCCACCCAGTGATGGCACTTGAGCCCCTTAAAGTGGAGTCAGAGCAAACCCAGAGAGTTCACCGTAAGGACTACCGTAGAGGAAAAAATAATTAAATTGCTTTCTGATTAATTAGGTTTGTTAACATTTCTATCTCCTCAGCTGTAATGAATAAGGCACTTGGATACGAGAAAACTAATCAGAGTGTACATCTTACAATTGTTTTTGAATAATCTTTTGTTAGCATGGAAACGGGGCTAAAAAAATGTGATAATTAAAGAAAGGTCAAGGCAGAGCTGGAAAGAGGATGTAGCAATCATTTACTGGAGAAAGAACTAGAATTTAACCAAACAGTCTGAGTGTTAACAGTTGAATTCTGTGGTTATTCTCAAGCATCTCTTATCCAGATTCTGCTGTCATCCCTGGGCCTCAAACCTCTGCCAGGAATCGGATGGTACTCTGGCTGAATTTAAAACACATGCATTAAATATTTTTATGGTTAGGTATGGGCAATATACACAATTTCCTAATGTTTTATAATAATTTACCTACATAGGAAAACTATGGCTATATCTACAGCAGACTTGGCAAAGAGGCACCCCCACTGCACACTCAACCCCTAGGATGGGTCTAGGAAGGCTGTATGACTCACTCTGTCTCCCTACAGTCTCTTTTTGCATTAGTTGAGGGGGAAGGAAGTTGTCAAGGAAATATTTATAGTTTTGAGCTGGAAGCAGTGTGCAGAGTGGCAGGATATAAAACTTCATCTCAAAGTTCTCATTTAGTGAACGCTGGTGCCAGCAGGATAACCGCCTGGGTTATGTGCAGCCTGTTTTAGTCTTCATTGGATGTTTGTGATAATTTTCAAAGGATCCTAAAATTTCTGGGTTTGTGCAGATTTTAGAGGTCAGCTAGTCCACTGCTGTTTTAGTTTCATGTGAGCTTGTTTAAATAGCATAAAGGTCATGAAAAGTAAAGTGCGGGGTGGCATGTTCAGTTCAGCCCAAAGACTTACTGAAAGACTACACAGCAGCAGAAGAGGGAAGTTGATGGAGTCTCTATAGAAAGATATTAACGATAGAATTCTAAAGCTAGACGAGGGATAGAGAGCATCATTTTCCAAAACATGTTCTGCAGATCGTTCAAAAAATAAGTTTGGGAAATACCAAATTCAGGAGATTCCTTTACAGCAGGACTTCAGGGGACTTCAGTGCATTAAATGCATTGTGAATCTCTCCGGTGCTGTGAGGGTGGAAGATGGGGGTGGTTTCCAAACTCATTTAACCAGACTTTCTTTATATGAATATACTTAGAGAAATACTGTCACATTTAATTCCTATATTTTACAGAGATTTACCCCTTCTTTTTACTAGTGACCACTCCTGCCATGTAAGATCACGTGGCCAGCCAATGGCAGAGTCCGAATTAGGACCTAGTCCCCGGAGTCTCAGCTTTTGTCTTATGCCATACTGCCTGTTTCACCCTTTTCCTTCCCATAAAACGCAGGGAGCACCTAAAGGGCAGAAACTCCCTGTGTCTGGTCGTGTGTGCTTCTTCCCATCCCCTCCCCCAGCCCTCTAGTGTAACCTGATGCGTTACAAGCTGCAAGCTCTTGAAGGGTGTCTCTAGGCTTGAGAGTTCCCCGATTGGTCCCCTTTGTTCCCAGGCGTATAGGGCAGGACAGACTTCCTTTCTTGTCTCAGATTCAAACTACCCAGGATAAAGAAAAGCAAAAAAATGAAAAAAAATTAAATTTAAAAAATGCACAGGAAGCATTGTGTTAGTTTTCCACTCTGTTGACAAATGCAAACTTGGTAGGGAAACAAGTTGCACAGTGTTAAATAATGTTTAATATTCCTTTTGTTTCCTTTCCATACTGTTTACATGTTGACCTTTTATCAGTTCACAAGTACGGCCCTTCTAAAACTGTTCCAACATTGGTTAACTAATACACATTTCTAAATTTAAGTACTATACTTTGTGGAGAATAGAAGAAGAGTTTTTGCTGGTATGTATGTGTGTTTTCCCCCCAAACAGTCTCTTGGCAGATAGGATGAGCTTTTCCCCTGCCTTTGTGTTTGGATAGGGGTGGGAGTGCACTTAGTATTGTCTGTTACCTTACGGTTTTTCACTTACGTGTAACAGGGTGCGACTTCCTTCCTTCCCACTACAGTGTCAGGATGTGTTCGGAAGCTATTCTTCAGGGAGATTACATCTGACCTGTTGGAGTAAGACGAGAAACAAGTATGTTAATACTTCACCTCTAATGCCCTCTCCTGGAAGACATCAAGTATCTATGGGTGTCATTCATACCTTCCCTTGACTACACCCATACCCACTGCCATCTCCTTGGTCTCTGAAAATATTTGATTCCCTGTGAGCTTTGTGAGAGAAAAGTATAACCATTTTTTGGTTCTAAGGCTGTGGTGGTAAATCCAAACTCTGCCTGTAAGAGTCTGGGGAGTTTTTTGCTTTTTGCTCGTAGATACATTTCTCAGAGGCGAAACAGTATGACGCCCTTGAGAGCCTTATGTTGTTTCCTTTCTTTTAGCTTCTGTCACCTCTTCTTGTGTTCACCCTCCCGGCAGTACTAAGTACTGCCAGCGACTGCAGTAACAACTCATAGAAGGGGGCCCCTCTCTTTTTCCTTTCCTGTGTCACCTCTCATTTTCAATAGTCAAGGCAGATTAGCTTTCTCAGAATGGTCGATTTTAGTGAAGCCTTTTTCCTGTTTTATCTCTGCAGTGATCAGCTTGGATGGC